TAGGGATTTGATTCTTAGAAGGTCCCCATTCATCTTTCTTATCCTCTCCTGGTTGTAGATATTCCAGGGTGCTTGGAAGACTATCTTATGGATTAAGACTTCTAGAGTTCTTCCAAGCTTTTCTTTAATGAAGTGTATAGTCCTTGGTTTTTGTCCTAGGTCCATAATCCACTTTGAATTGGGTTTTATGTGTGAAGTGAGGTGTGGATCTTGCTTGAGTTTTCTGCAGACAGTTTTCCAGCACCATTTATTAAAAAGGCTGTCATTTCCCTACTTAACAAATTTCATCTCCTTGTCAAGTCAGTTGACCATAGGTAGATGGGCTGATTTCTGGATTCTCAATTCTATTCCATTGATCTATGTGTCTGTCATTGTACCAGTACCATGCTGTCTTAACCACCACGGCAGTGTAGTAGGATTTGAAATCAGGGAGTGAGATGCCTCCTACCTTGTTTCTCTTTTTAAGGAGTGCTTTGCTTATTCTGGGCCTCTTTCCATTCCAACTGTAATAAAAACAGTGGTTAGATGCTATGAAGTAGGTGGCAATGCCTTAACCATATGCGCGTGGTGTAAGGCCCGAGGGCCTCTTCCATCCTTCTCTACTTTCATACAACTGATTATGTTTTATGTATGGCCATACCTAGGTGTGACATTTAACACGGGTGAAGGAGACCTAACTTCAGAAACAGTTTGTAGCTTCACTGATACAACTCTTGTTTTTCGTTCCTGTGATTGATACTTTTTTTGTAGACAGTGTGAGATTATCAGTAGACTCTGAATAATCAACTCTGTCGTCTATCATCATTGTCCTGGGAAGGTTTTTGAGGTTTAATCCATTGGTCATTTCTGCCACGAGAATATTCAGGAATCTCATCCATTAGGCTGGTATATTGCATGTATTCCTTCATTGTGGTAATACCCACCACTTCAGATATTTTTAACTTCTGGAAAAGGAGTTCATCTTCTACATTTTGCTGATAAATGTTCTATTCCCAGTCATTTTTCAAGCATGAGTCAATGTCTCATTTGATGATTTCACAATATTTTTTCCACTAATACATTGTACCAACGCATCAGAAAAATTACTGAGTATTAAGCACTATACGTTGTGTTGATGGTGTTGTGTACCATTACATCAGAACCCACTCATGCATATGTGCCCCTCCAGCCTGTTTTCAGAGGCACTTTAATTGCATGGGAGGAAATTGCCTGTCTTTATCCCATGGAGCAGCTGGCCTGTCCTGGTGAAGGTGAAACCAAGTTGTTCTTTGGATGCAAGGATTTTGAAGCTGTCTGACAAACTTTGGGCATGTTATCAAGAGGCGACCAGTCCTTGGAGAGGGACATCATACTTGGAAGAATAGAGGAACAGCACAGGAGAGGAAAACCCTGACTGAGATGGATTGACACAGTCACTGGGTTTTTGGGAGCAAGTGTATCAAGAGATGGTGAGACTGGCTCAGTATAGGACAGGGCTCAGAGTTACTGTACATAGGGTTGCTGTGAGATTCCAGCAACTCAACAGCACATAACAACAACAATATATTGTAACTACAACCTTCAGTGTGAAGAAAAATTATAAATACAGGCAAAGAGGGGAAATGCTCACCACTAGATCTACATCTGACTTTATACTTAATGCTAGGATCTTTAATCAGCCAAATCTCTAAGGGATGCCCTTCCTTTAATATTTCATGTGTCACATAGTGTTCCTTTACACAGATAGTATGTTTCAGAAGTTGAAGCATTGTTTTACATATGTGAGAAAGTGTTGCATCTTACATTACTCGAGCTGCATTCTTTTCCTTAACTTTTCTCTTTCAGTTGCTTTTTTGTCTCTGAGTGTTGCTTTTTTGACTTGGTAAAAAGTAACTGTTGGATCTGAGGTAGAATTTATGATCCTTACCATGATGTCTCAGTGCAGTCTTCAGTCTAGTCAGTATTTCTCTCTAGAGAAGAGGATGGCGTAGCATTCTCCTTTTTCCCCTGCCTCGTGCCTGCTTGGAAGCATGAGCAGGGTGAAGGGAGAAAATATTGATGAGTCCTCTGTTGTTTGAGACCATTGCTTTTTAAAATGTACCTAAAATCGTACTTTCCAAATTTTACAGTATTAGGTTTTGTGTTTTAAAGTAGCTGATTTTGGAGTTGCTCTTTGCTTTCTCCACGCTAAGCAGCCTGAAGGGTATTTTGAAATTTTACTGAAAATGTCCTTATTACTTAGAGATGGAGGTAAAAAGAGAATTCTTAGACTCTGTGATTCAAGTTTCCCCTTTACACACACACACACACAAAAAAAAAAAACCAAAAAAAACCCAACCCCCCCACACACACAGAGCAAGAGAGCGCTTAAAGAACAGACGTATTTCACTCTCTAAATTTCCAGTACACAAATGTTATTACCCCCAGACAGCCCAATAATATCATCACTTAATATTGTTGTAGTTGAGCCAGAAGTAAAATCCAGCTTCTGACTCTGCTTTGGACACCGTCGACCTATGTGGTGGTGGTGGTGTTGTTAGGTACTGTCGAATTGCTTCTGACTCAGTGACCTTGTGTGTTTCTGACACAATGAACACTGCCAGGTGCTGCGCCGGCCCCATGGTTGTGACCCTGCCTGAGCCCATCATTGCAGCCACATGTCACTCCATGCATTTTTCAGTGACCCTCTGCTTTTCCCAGCATTTTGTCCTTTCCCAGGAACTCATCCCACCTGATAATATATCCAGAGTAAGTAAGATGATGTCTTTCTTCTAAGAAGCATTCTGACTGTACTTTTCCAACATGTTCATTGCTCTCACTTATATATTCCATGATATATTCGTTGTTCTTTGCCAACACTATCATTTGAAGGCATCAGTTCTTCAGTCTACTTTATTCATTGTCCATGTTGTTATTGTTGATGTTGTTCTGTGATATCAAGTCGACTATGATTCATAGTGAACAGTGGCTCTGAATCCTGCCCTATCTGAGCCAATCTCACAGTCTCTGACACACTTAACCTCATTGTCACAGTCAGTCTATCAATCCATCTCACCCAAGATCTTCCTCCACTATGCCGACCCTCCAACCATGATGTCCCTCTCTAAGGACTGTTACCTCCAAAGTATGTCAGACTGAGTTTCAAAATCCTTGCCTCCAAGGAGCAAACAAAACCCTCTCCAGGACAGACCTGGCAGTTCATATACCTCAGCTTAGGGCAGCTGCATTTTAGTCTTCAAAGTGCCATCTTTGCTTTTAACACCTTAAAGCAATCTTTTCAGCAGATTTTCCCAATGCAATGTCTTTTACTTCTTGATTGCTGCTTCCATAGGTGTTGATTTTGAATCCAAGTAAAATGAATTTATTTGACTACTTCAATCTTTTCACTGTTTACCATAATGTTCTTTTTGGTCCAGTTGTGAGGATTTTTGTTTTGTGTTGAAGTGTAATTCATGCTAAAGGCTGTAATCTTTGCTCTTCAGTATGTGCTTCAAATCCTTTTTACTTTCAGCAACTGTTACCAGCGTAAGTTGGTAGTATAAAGTTAAGTGGTTTTTAAAGCTTGAATTTGCATAGTCTAATGTAGAGAGAGACATCATCTTTTCAGCAGCGAGATGTACTTCTTTGAGGAACTGAGGATTACAAGGGAGGCTAAGAAACCTTGGTAAGAAGGAAGTCCCGTGTAGTTTGTTTTATTAACAAGTTTTTATGTTTGTTGTTTTTAATTAAGGCATAGCCATTGAATTGTAAATTTCCTTTTTTTCCCCGCCAAATGAATTCTTGTTTGTGCGTTGTTATTGTTGTTAGATGCCATCAAGTCAAGGACAACTCATAGTTCCATGGCTTCTGAGGAAGTAGGTTTTTTGTTTTTTGGTTTTGGGGTTTTTTTAGGAAATAGTTTTTAAAATAACTCAGTGGTAGTAGTTTTCATAACCTAACTTCTTGTAAGATACTTAATTATATAGTACTTTTTTAAAATTATAAAATGCCTCAGGAAGCTTTTTAATACCAATATAGTAAAGACACTGTTAATGTCTGCCTGGTTGCCTGCATGTGATGTGCAATGCTCATGTGGTATGGTGCCTGAGGCCCTTCTAGCAAAGATAGAAGACCAAAGCCTGGCAGTGTCTCCCCTCCCACATCCTTAGCCCTAATCTAGACGTGGCACCCAGGCCGAGAGCCCCAGGCCAGACTCCAAGGCCCTGGCCTCCATCCCCTGCTCATACCTCTCATTCCCCAAAATCAGTCTTAAGTCCTGAAGGAGACAAGAAGGAGAATGGAAGGAAACAGTTGAATGAAGGCTAAAGGAGAGGGGCTGGATTTGACAACAGGTACAAGGTCTATTTTTCTGCCTCGGTCCTCCTGACCCATCAGTAAATGAGTGGAGTCCCATTTGTACAAATCATAAAATGTCCTAAATTACAAGGTTAATACATTTGTTTGTAGCATCCTTTCCTTATCTAATGCCACCTTGTTAGACTTGTAAATAGATAAACTAATAAAATTATCATGCTTTGCATATTCTAGAAATGTGATTACCATAACACAGAAGACAAGCAATACCTCTTGGCAGTAAAACCACGTATGAGTAGGTGTAGCAGAGGCTGTAAGCCTGAAAGCTAAGGACAAAGACATTGGGGCCAAGTTGCCTGAGTTTAAATCTCAGTTCTGACAGTTATTGGATGAGTGACCTGGAACAAGTGACTGAACTTCTCAGTGAGTTTTCTCAGCTGCAAAATAGAGATGATAGCACTGTATGTAGAGTTGTATGGTTTAAGGTAAGTCAGTATGATTTAAACACTTAAAAGCATCATTAATTCTATATAACAATGCTTGCTACTATATAATTTTGCCTTTCTGCTATTATTTCTGTCTTTAGATGGACAAATCTGATTTGCTGTCAGCGGGTGACATTTATATTAACACCACTACCTTTAGCCTGTAACTCCTAGATACCAAATCTCCTTCCTCAATAATTTTTAAAAAGAAGTAGAAATAAAAATTGGTTTTCTCTTTCCTAGGCCCAACACCGAGATACTTTCATTGAAGAACGCTATGGAAAATATAACATCAGCGATCCTTTAATGGCTCTCCAGAGGGACTTTGAAACTCTCAAGGAGAAGAACGATGGCGAGAAGCAGCCCGTGTGCACAAACCCGCTCTCCATCCTGAAGGTGGTGATGAAGCAGTGTAAGAACATGCAGGAGCGCATGCTGTCCCAGCTGGCTGCTGCCGAGAGCAGGCACCGCAAGGTACGCACACCCCGCTGACCAGCGCTGCCACAGGAAGCCCCAGAGAGTGCCGAATGGACAGTGCTCGCTACTTTCTTATCGGCCTTCAGTTTTTATGGAACTCAATTGAGGAGTCTCCCAGATGTCATAAAAGCCTTTAGTTCTCCCAGGAGCCAGGCACTGGAAAAGAAAACACAGGTCATTCCAATGCCAAGTTTAGGGAGTAGTTGAGACACATTGTTTAAGATGACACTCCTTCATGGTATGTCACTCTGGAACACTTGGTATGTTTTTCTAGCTCTTGATCATCCAGACTTGGGCCACAAGCTGGGGTTGATCGGGCTTCTTACTGAAGAGGACATTCTCTCTTCACTTACTCGAGTGATAAAGATTAACAGGCATTTGAGGAATGCTGTACGTGAGAGAATTTACCTGAATTATAAACACATGAACCAAGAGGATGACTTCATCTTTGTTTGGTTTTGAGTTTCATTACAGTTCACTGCTCATAAAACAGTCCCTAGGGTTGTTTACTTTAAAGCTGTTCTTGTCCGTGAGCAAAGTGTGTGCCTTTTGTGTGTTTCTGTGCATGTTCGCCTGTGTTAGGTCCTGTTTCTTACAGCTCCCAAGTTAGGAAGGCAAACCTGTGCACTTCTCCACCTCATCCCATTGGAATTCTACTGCCTGTGCATTTATTCCCCAGCCTGGCATTTACTGCTCAAACTTGGCCTATAAAAGATGCTTGGCTAGACTCTACATATTTAAAACTATCAGTTTAAATTTATATCAACAAGGGGTGACATCATTGCAGTTGTATAAGCCATCTGAATTTTTGGATTGGCAGCTACAAAGTTTGATGGATCTTAGTTTGCTTTCCTAGTTATCTGTATCACAGCCATCAGCTTGAAATCTGTCTCTTGAAGCTCTGGATTTTGCCTGTGATCTTGTTTTCCATGTCACAAAGTCCACATGAAAGGCAAGGGAAAGAGTTCTTATTTTTTATTTTGTTGTTGTTGCAATTTGAGTGAATGTTTGTTCTTGCAATGTATCACTCACATTTTGTTTCATTAACATTAATTACAAGACTCAAAGTATAATTGCATGTTTCTTGCTTTCTCCCTGTAATTCTTATTTCTGTTAATTCTTCTATCTTCCCCCTTTCTGCCTTATTGGTAGGAAAATCCTGTTATTTTAACCTGACGGCTGTCCTATGGTGTAAGCACCTCCCTAGTGTTATGGGCCTGACTATTGTTTGTTTATTTGTTATCGGCCTGACTGTTGTTGTGTTTGATGTGTTTCATTGGTTTTTTTCCTCCCAAAAGTAGGTGTCAGTTGAACTTTTGAGCCAAAGGTGGGGGCCTGCTAAAGGGAGGGTCTTTAAAATCCCTAGTGATGGGGTGAGTCGGAGGCTGACCTGGAGCCTCCACTCTAGAAGTCAACTTCTCGGTCTTGACCACAACGACCGCAGCTGTCATTAAGGGAAGTTTTGGGGTCATATTTGATGTGTGTCATTGGGTTTTTCTCTACTCAAAAGCAGGTGTCAGTTGAACTTTTGACCCAAAATTTTGGCCAAATTTATTAATTTTAGAATGAATATACTTTACAGCAGTCATTTTGTCTATTTGCTGTACTGAATAACTTGGAGTTGCTTTGATGCTGAACACTGTGCCATAGTCATGTCAAATTCCATAATGGTTACCCATCATGTACACTATTGGGAGGAGCTTCCAGATAGATTCAGATTGGGAAGCAGGAGTGGCATCCACTTCCTAAACTAGATGCCTCTGGAAACTCTATAAAGATTCAGAAATTATGTTAATTATAGAATAGATTTCAGGTCTTTTGTGCAAGGGTTGCTATGAGTCGTATTTGACTTGACAACACTTAACCAGTGCTAAGTGAAGACTAGTGCTGTTATATGCAGAGCAACATTGTTCCACTTGGCACATCACTCTTTATCAATGTGCAGTATGAAGTAACCTGGGTTGCTGTGATGCTAAACCTTGTGCCATTGGGCTATCAAATAGTTTACCAATGTGGACAGTGTTTGGTGGAGCTTCCAGTTTGTAAAACAGGTTTGGAAGCAGGAGTGGCATCCACTTCCTAAACCACATGCCTCCGGAAGCTCTATGAACTTGGAGAAATGATGAAAGTTATGGAAAAACATTAGGCCTTTTGTTTATATAGTCTCTATGAGTCTTGCTCAACTTGGCGGCAATCAACAGCAACATTGTTTGACTGCAAAGGGTTGGTTTTTTTTCCTGTTTGGAGATAATCATAATTATTTATTGTGTCAAATCAGCTCTGACTCACAGCAATCCAGTGTATAACAGAATAAGGCACTTCCTGGTCTTGTATCATCTTAATGGTCATTGGTATAGTCTAGTCTTTTTTTTTTCTAGAATATTAAAAATTTATCATATTTTAAGACATACATAAGAAATAAAGAAAATAGGCTTAAATGTCTTATATAATAATTACACATACAATTTTGCTCCAAGAAATACGATAGCCAGTGTTATTATATGTCTTCATTTGAGATCAACATAGCATAAAGTTATTGTCAGACATTTTTTACCATTTCAACTGAGTGTTTTGGTGTTTGGTTTTTTAATAAAATTTTTACTTTATACTAATTTACTTACAAAGTTCATATACATTGTTTTTCACACTGGATCTTTCCCATTTCCTTTGCTCATCCCTCCCTCCCCCTCATCAAATTGTGCAACCCTATGATAACCCCCACCCACCCATCCTAACCCCTCTGCTCCCTCCCTCTCTCCCTTGGATCCTCGTACATGTTCTACAGTAATGTTCTCGTACAATATTTGTCCTTATGGGACTAAGTTAATTCACTTAGCAAAATGCTCTCCATTGACTACAAGTTTTTTAACAGGCTTAAAGAATGATTAATAGCTATAGTCTGGGAAGTTCCACCAATTTCTGTCAGACCAGTAAGCCTAGGGTTCTTCATGTTTCTGAGTTTTGCTCCACATTTCTCCCCACTCTATCCAGGATCATCCACTGTGATCCCTTGTAGAGCAGTCTGTGGTGGTAATCAGGCACTATCTTGTTTTCTGGTGTCAGGGTCATAGAGGTTAAGGTTTATGTGATCCTTTAGTCGCTTTGGACTAATAATTATTTCAGAACATCTTTGCTTTTCTTTCTTTGCACAGGGTGAGAAGAGATTAGTATTAAATTAAAAATAATACTATATTTAAAAAAAA